CCCCCCCCCCCCCCCCCCCCGAACACACACATATTCAATATAGGATTTTTCGAATTTGGACAATTTTCCTTTTTTATTTTGCTTGTCAAACTTTCTAAGGTAATTTTACATTATAACCCCCCCCCCCTTTAAAAAAAACGATACTGCGTGCCTGCAAATAAATTCTATTCTGTTGAAATATATTATATGAGATATTATAACTGCTATACCTTTGAGGTAAAATTTTGCGAGCCCTCCAGTTCGTTTTCGTAGTATCTCCTTGATTAACATAGTTAAGTTTAATTTCTAATATTTATGTAGGTCAATTTTGATGGTTAAAAACGATATCTCACAATGACCAACTGCCTTATTTGAATTTAATAATATATATTATACATCGAAATAACACTTCCTAAACAGAATTTACTCTGATTTGTGCTTTTTTTTTTCATGCGTTTAATTTACGATCGCTATTTCCCAGTTATACGATCGCTTAATAAACGATACATGTCGTTGACGATCGCCTCGCAGTTGTCAAAATTTCCAATTAAAAGTTGTTTTGATGCTAATGTATACAGTTTTAATTTTAAAATGTTTAGTTCATACCTCTAAGAATGACTTTCAATGCTGATAGATGATAACAATCTAAACTATCTCAAAGCATGAAAATTCGATGTTTGGAGCATTGTCGATTTGATCATTTGCACAGAAATTATTTTACAAATTTAATCTAGGTGATATTTGCCCGAATTAAATCTTTTCTAGTATTACTTACATCTGGTTATACTCCAGCGCATACAAAACTGCTTTAACTTCTTCTCTACGATACTTTCTACTTCAATGATTTTATCCGTGTTGCCGATCGCATCAGAATTGTTTACAGGGGTGTAATAGAACATGTAGAATTGATGTTAAATAAGATATAAAACATCTAACATGATTTTGTACAAAGATTACGGTCATCTAAATAACTGTTTTACGGTCATCATCTTCTCGCTGGAATGTGTTTGTTACGGTCATCATACTGCAAAATTTCGAAGGCCTTTTATCATTTCATTTTCTTTTGTTTGGGTAAACAATAACTACTGGTGTAGAGATAACATCGATGTTCGTTTAACCATTACCTTAAATTATTCAGTTTTACTGAATAATGTTTATAACCGCCGTCGAAAATTTTCAACCGATCATCTCAGCCGACATGTTTTGATGACCGTAAACTATATTACGGTCATCGGCTTTCCTACAGTGAACAAGAACTTCGCCAAACGTTATTAAGCAGATGGGCGAACAATGCTTGCAAAATGTATAGATAGCTTGAAATGTATAGGCCTATTTCTGAAATAAGTATTTAGAGCAAAGATCTAATATTATTATGCCCCCGTAATCGAAGATTCGGGGGCATATAGTTTTTCCCCTGTCTGTCCATCTGTCTATCTGTCTGTTTGTCTGCAAAAACTTTAACCTTGCCCATAATTTTTGATTGGTTGCAGCTATGGCTTTCATATTTTCACATGTTTAAATTCCTTATGACAAGACCTTTCTTTGGGTACCATCAAATTTGACCTTTTGACCTTGAAGTTTGACCCATTTTTGCTTTATTTTATCAGACTTTAACCTTGGTCTTAACTTTTGAGTTGGCACTAGGACTTTCAAACTTCACATGTGTACATGTGTATACCTTGTGACAAGACCTTCCGTCAGATTCCAACAACTTTGACCATTTGACCCTTGACCTTAGAGTTTGACCTACTTTAAAAAAAAATTTAACCTTGGCCATAACTTTGAACAGTTGGTGCTAGGGCTTTCACACTTCACATGTGTATTTCTTGTGACAAGACCTTCTTATGGATACCAACAACTTTGACCCTTGACCTTGGAGATTAACCTACTTTTGAAATCTTTAACCTTGGCCATAACTTTTGAACATTTGGTGCTAAGGCTTTCATACTTCACATGTGTATTCCTTGTGATAAGACCTTCTTATGGATACCAACAATTTTGACCCTTGACCTACTTTTGAGAAACTATAACCTTGGCCTTAACCTTTGAACAGTTGATGCTAAGGCTTTCATTCTTCACATGTATATTTCTTGTGACAAGACCTTCCTTTGGATACCAACAATTTTAGCCCTTTGACCTTGACTTTGGAGTTTGACCTACTTTTAAAAAACTTTAACCTTGGTCATAACTTTTGAACAATTGTTGCTAGGGTTTTCATACCTCACAAGTGTATTCCTTGTGACAAGACCTTCCTTTGGATACCAACAATTTTGGCCCATTGACCTTGACTTTGGTGTTTGACCTACTTTAAAAAAAAAACTTCAACCTTGGCCATAACATTTGAACATTTGGTTCTAGGGTTTTCATATTTCATGTACATGTGTATCACTTGTGATAAGGCCTTCCCTTGAGCACCATTTGACCTTGACCTTGATGTTTTACTTACTTTTGAAAAACTTTAACCTTCACCATAACTTTTCAAAGGTAGGTGTTAGGGCTTTGACAGTGACATCTTAATTCTATACTTTTTCTACCTTATTTATTAGTTGATTATTTCAACCCTCAAAAATTCCACTCAACCAATTAAAAAGTTTTAAAAGACATTTTATTCCTAACATATGAAAAAAACAACAGTTTAAAGTCTTGTGTGCACCCCCTTTCTGTGGAGCAGTCCTTATTCTGTTCATGTTTTATTAGAATCTGATGCCTCTGAGGAGAATAAGACAGAGAAATCCTTACTGAGTCAAAACATGGATGAAGAAACAAGAAAAGAATTTGAGAAAAAGTTTGGTAAATACAGGAGCAAGGACTCGCCGTACAGTATTCAGAACATTCTCTGGTTGATATCCTCTATAGCTGTCTTCTATTACACAGACTTCTACATTGCGTGTCGATATGATCAAAGAGTAAACAGGTAAGTTAAAGTTATAGATGATTAGAAAAATGATGTAAAATCAAGTAAGAATACCTAAAAAGTCTTTTTATTGTTTGTACATGTTGAAATTTTCCAAAAGTGCACAAGTACTTTGAGTAGTTTAACTTAAGAAATCTTTGCAGGGGCTCATTAAGTTTTAAGTCAGACATAAGTCCATAAATTTGACTTAGAATTTATGATTGGTCTTAAAGTGGATCACAAAAAGTTCTAACTTAAATTTAAGACAGCTTCATGATCCTGGAGCCTGTACATGATTTTCTTTTTATGAAAGATTTTTGATACATTAAGTATTGTAGGAATGTTTCTGAAATGGAACATTATCTTTTTAGCATAAAATAGATAATAAAGTGTCAAAAATTTATGTACCAGTACAAATAGTTGATGGTTTCCTTTTTGCTCAGGGTGTGGTTCAATGTTGGAGCTATCCTCATGCTGGTTAATCTCTCCATTGCCGCTTTCCTCATTGTGTACATAACTTACATCAAGAAGGTCAGCACTGATAACTGGGAGACCCTTTACCCAGCCGCTATCCCCATAGCCACTGGATCATTTATAATCGGAGGGATTTGGTAAGTCCTGAAATTCAAGAAGATCTTTTATACCACACACAAAGTTGGGGGAAGGGGGGTATGCTGGAAAATTACTTTGTCTGTCTGTTCATGGACATTTTTTTTAGCAAGAGATAGTCTTTGAAACTTTTTCATGCTTGAACTTTGTAGAAATATAAAAAATACCATTCAACATGTGCATCTAATATTTTCAGACTGATTCATCAAGTTTTTAAAAATGTGTAGATCTTTAAAGATTATATTGAATACTTATTTTTAGGAATTCTGTAACTAAAAAAGAGTGAAATTCTTTTCTGGACATAACTTTGGAATTATGAAACTTAAGTGGTTCACATTTGATACAAAGGTAGCTTGTGAACAAAGCTTTGTCTCTTGACCCTAGCTCATATTGGAAAAGTCCAGCTCATTATTGTTCTAACTTTGAAATGAGGAAACAATGGAGAGTCAAAATCATGCTTAATCAAATGTTGAGGAATTTTATCCATCCAACCCAGTGACACTGAATTGATTGTATAGATATTAAATAATATTGATGTTTTGGCCTGTCTTGAACAGTTGAAGGAAAAGATGATTTTACTTAAATGTTGTTACTATTTTGTAGTTTGAATAGTTATCTGTGGCAGTTATGCAATATATTTGTTTCCATATCAATAATTTAATTCTGGTTGTAACATGCCATTTGATTGGGAAAAAAATTACTTTATTTTGTATAAAATGGGTTGCCTATGTCACAAAGACTTGCGTCAAAAATGTATCGATCCACCTGACGTTACATTTAAATTTTGCACAATTTGAGGTAATTTTTAAGGGCAACCATCTTATTTTCTTACACTAAATGAAAGAAAATTAAATTATAAGGTATGAAATTAATAGCTACCCAATTTATATGGTATAAACTGGGTTGGAACAGTTTATGCTTTTTTTATAAACTGCTTCATGGTTTATAAAGCATAAACTGCCCAAACCCAGTTTATACCATATAAATTGGGTAGCTATTAAATGCATTCCTTAATTAAGTTAGATTCTTATTTTGCAGTGTGACAGTGGGTCTGTGGCCGATATGGAGTATATTCACCCCAGTTATCCTGTTTACCTTATTTATGGGTATGATTGTAACAATAGCAATGTTACCAAACTTCTAAGATACCCAGAAAGAAGAAATCTGTGGACTTCAGAAGAGAAACTTGTCAGTAACTGTACAATGTTTCTGTTTTTATATCTTGCTCTGTACTTGATGCTGAAGAAAAAAGTTGTTGTTTGTTATAAATGTTATTTATTTTTGAAATAAGATGACACATATAATGTTTATTTTTATTTATATAAATATGTACCAAGCAAAGGCATTACGTTTCCATGTATGACAATGGACATGTATTTAACTTCCCTTTTTCTATTTTATGTTAAATGTTTATTTTTATATCTCATCCTCAAAGTATGTGTTAGGAACATAAAGTATTATCCATGTTTGTTCTTTTGCCCCCCTGGAATGTAACAAGAAATCCCCCTCCTTCTTTTTTTCCTTCTTTTCCTGCAGGCCTTTAGCTAAATTTTGTATTAGGTTTTATGATGGTTGAGTTGCAGTTCTAGTTTGAGTTCTAACACTTATTGCTCAATTCTAATAGAGTTATGATCATTTTAAATGTGAGAAATTCCTGGAAATTGTGAAAAAAGTTTTCCCTTTATATATGCTTGCAGATATTGAGTTGAATTTTAATGAAAGGTTGTATTACAAATCAAATTATATTTTCCACACTAATGCTTTAACTTTGAACCATTTAGTTACATTGAACCAATTAATGATTTATTTTGAAGAGTGTTAAAGGTGACCATGCATTTAAATTTAAAAAAAAAAAAAACTTGTACAAATTTTCCCCCCATATACATGGTATTGAACTTGTGATTTACTGTATGTGTGTATGAAAGTGAATTGTAGATATAATTTTTTTCCTATGGTCCCATGAAACGGAATTAATTAGGGTCTAGAATTTTTAAGAACAGTTTTTGACTTCAGCTTCAAACAATAAATTCATCTTGTGCAGACACATCTATAGTTTTAATGTACACACAGGTCTCTGGAATTGGTTTTAAAAATAATGAATATGCATTAAAATTTTCATAAACCACATTTAAATCCATAATATATGTAAATAATTTTATATTGGAGTAAATCAGTATCAGTAAATATGATGGCTCTGATTTGAATTATAATCAAATACATGTAATTCTGCCAGCAAAATTTATTTTCTTCTAATCTGGATTCCAATTGAGACTTGGTAAACTACTTAAAGCATAAAATGTTATATTTTGCTAAATATTTTTTTAAAATTGTAAATATTTTAATATAATTCAGTATTTGAAAAGTATGCTGATGATGTTATGAGAATGTCTCCTACAAAATTAGCCCTAACAAAAAAGTACTATAGTCAACAATAGCTTACTATAGTTAATTATGGTCTACTTTTGTATCAAAGTTTTTCTTTAGTCAATCAAAGTATCACAGTTATTACTATTGTAAAAAAAAAATATTTTTACTTTGAATTTCAGATTGTTTATTTCATTTTTTTTCTCCATTTCTTCTATACAATATTCTGTTTTTAAAAAGAAATGTTTCTTGTAAATCACATACATTTGCCCCCCCCCCCCCCCCAAATTACTCCATTGATTTAATTTAAAAGATGTTAAAGCTGTAAGTCTCAAATGAAATTCAAAATTATTGTAAAGATTGAATCATAGTAAAGTTTCAACGTATACTAGTTGTAAAGTTTCAAAGTAACAAGTAAAGTTTCAAAGTATCAAAGTAAAGTTTTGAAGTATCAAAGTAAAATTCAAAGTATCAAAGCAAAAATGTCGAAGTATGCACTAGAGTACACTATAGACAATTATAGTAGATTTTTGTTAGGGCTAGGAAGTAGGAATTTTCTCATTTATTTTAAGCATCTCTTATCTCATGTTCCCAGGATTATATATTTAATTATAAGATATGAAATATGTATATATTTTAATGTGAAATTCTTAAAGTTGAGGCTTATCTATAGGTAAGGTCCTCTTTTATTTTTTATAATATACTACTTACTTTTTAGATATAACTAATGGCCTTTGGTACTTCTTCAACATTGAATAATATTTACCACAAAAAAAAAATGAAAAGTTTATTATCATTATTTAAGTTTGTACTCCTACATCCAGACCTAACATCTGATTTTTGTTCAGAGAGGACATAGGAGTTTACACCAGGTTCTGTTAGCTCAAAAGCATCAAGTCATTGCTAGCCTTTTATCATAATTGTTGCTTCATAATGCAAAAGTAGTAATAGCATACTTTCCTTATTTTCTGTCAAATTTTTTGACACTTTAAACAATTTGTCTGAACAAGGCTTATATGTTGCCATACAAACAGGGAACTATGAACAGTTAATATTTATGTTTTATCAGGTTTACACATCAGTCCCAGATAGTGTTTTTTCTGTCAATGTATTATTGCAGTTTGTTACACTGTATTTTCTCTAATTTTTGGATCCTTTCAGCATTGAAATGCCAGAAATATTCACAACTTTCACTGATATTGGTGTAAAAGATACATTTGGATTTCAGAAAACCGAAGTTTTATGATATTGAGAAATAATAGAATTATTTTCTTTTTTCAATACTTCAGGTACAACTTGCATACATTAACAATAAGTTTGTGTTTCAAAATGAAGTCCCAACTATCTATTCTTTTTTTCAGAAATTCCTCAGTTTTTTTTTTTGTTTGTTTGATTTTTTAACGTCAATGTCTTGATGTCATATTTTATGTAAATTGTTACATGTGTTTATCCCTCCGCCCTTATTTACCAAAAAAGCCATGTTCCCATAATACTGTAATTCAGATATAAGTAATGTACTAAATGTCTGTAGAAGTTTCTGTTAGTGAATGTATGGTTTGGGTAAGGAAATAGCTATATTATCTCTGACAATCATGCACAATCCTCTATTTCAGGCTTAACATAGAATTTTCCAGCTTAACGTAAAACTTTTCTTAAGTTAATTAATTCAGCACGTTTTATGCATCATTCAGGTTTACATTATTTTAACATACCAAAGAGATTAACTCAAGAACTATATTGTAGCAGTAATTGACTTAACCTGCCTTGATATAATAAAACTTCTTATATGTACATACAAAGTATTTCTTTAGGCAGGTAAATGTGGACATGGTGCTTTTACTTGGAAAACCCAAATACAGCTAGATTTTAGAATGTGATAAACTTATCTGAAATTTCAACACTGAAGCTTATATCTGAGTGTTTCCATTAACAGTGAATTGTAGCAGTAGTTTAATGTCTGTGATATCCTCTGCTTAGAACAAAAAAAAAGCTTGTGTTGTCAAGTAGTGTAGACAAACTATATTTTTTGTGTACTATTTTTTTGTACTTTGTCATAAATTATTTTAATAAATTCTTTCTACATGTATGATCTTTATTTTAATAAATTATTTGTGAAGTCATTGAAAATCGTTGTTGTCGTTAGTTAATTAGCAAAGGTCAGTCTTTTCATAATTACTACCTGAAGCTACATTCATATTTACAAGAATCAGCCTCTGTAATTACTTGAACTATTTTTGATATGCGTGGTGCATTTATGCAGATTTTGATGAAATTTTGCTTGTTATTAGGACTTGACACAAGAAACATAGGACAAACAAAATTTGGTTGCTCTGTGTCATGGTTTCCATGGTAACCAATTTGAAAATTGAGATTTTTAACAAATTTTAATCTTAATAGAGCCTTACAAATATTGGGAAAACCAAATTGACCACTTCAGAAAATGTAATACAGCCATGTACCTTGATGACGTGTAAATCAATTTTTAAATAAGTCGTAAACATGGTTCTATTTAGTATACTATTTATATCAGGGCTAGAAATAATTATTTTTGTTTACTGGTCACTCGGGCTATCACCTTAATTTTTTACTGGTCAGCTTAGTACTTTCACTTCCCACTGGGCCAGTAGATTAAAAAAAAAAACTGGCCCAAAAACCATAATAATAATAGTAATAATTTTTATATTGTGATACTTAGAAAAACAAGAAACAGCAGAAGTTGGGACGCACAACCCTGTCAAGTTAACTAGCCCGACTGTGAATGAATTTTAATATGCATAAAAAATGCTGACCCAAAGGGCATATGCCCTCTGCAATGTACTAGCCCAGATTGAAAATTTACTGGCCCCAGACCAGTGGGCCATCAATTATTTCGAGCCCTGTATATGCTAAAAAATGCTCTATATTGACAAATGCTAGGTATTTCATGAGAAATCTCGATTACCAACGGCAGAGAAAAAACAGCAATATTTGATTTTTCGTAATAGGTTATCACAATGTGCATTGTAAAAATAAGTATGGTTGCGATTGTAACAGCATAGCTAGACATAAATTTCAATTAGGAAAGTCACTGAGAATCATTACTGCTAAATATATATCTGTAAGACATTGTAACACAGCCTTAAAGGGACATAGACACAGATTTGAAATTAGTATTTTCTAAAATTTACTGTATAATATCTAGACTTATATGTTGCTATAGCATTTCATACGGAAATATCATAAAAAAAAACTTAGTTTCAATAATTTCCAGATAAAATAAGTTTTTGATTATATTTCCGTATAGCAACATATAAGTCATGATACGATACAGAAAATGTGAGAAAACATTAACTTCAAGTCTGTGTCTATGCCCCTTTAAGTTATTGCTGTCTAATAGTAACCATGGAGACATCATAGCACTGGTTACAGTAATAATTTCTTGCTACTTTATGAAATTTAATAATTAGTTTTTATTTAAAAAAAAAATGCATTATCTTAATTACCTAAAATTGTACTAATCTAATAGAATTAAAGTTTATTAATATTGATCAAGTTTGATGAAGAGAAAAATGTTGATTTTATGGCAACTAAGAAGGAAAAATGTTATAATTATCCTTAGTTTGAAGAATTGACCGGGGGGGGGGGGGATTTAGTGCGAGAGAGATCTATGTTGCGTACTATTCCTGCATATACAATATTGTACTGCAGAAACACGTGACGTGTATTTCTAAATACAGTTTTCACTTCTAATAAATGTTCACTTGGCTTAATTAATAATCTTCACATGGTCGTAGGAAACGGGGGGGGGGGGCACGGTGGCCCCCAGTATTTTGCTGATATATAGAGTACTACAGAAAACATAGCTTCCATATGCTTTTTTGGGTAGTGCCCCCCCCCCAACTGAAAATGTTTGCTTGTCCCCCCCCCCCCCAACTGAAATTGCTTCCTATGGGTCTGCTTCATTTGACATAATCTTTGTTCATCCATGTAAATTAGTCAATGTTATTGCCGCAGTACTAAACAGATATAATTTAAAGCCTCTCCTAGTCTGTGGAAATTGTAGTTCACAGAAGGTGACATACGCTTCCTATCACAGAATATTTGATGCATAATAATCATCTAGGATTTTTTATTATAAGTTTCTAAAAACTAATAGTTGAATCTGATTTCTTGAAAAAGAAACGATGAAATCCACATCAAGAAAATATGTTTTAATAGTATGAATTAATCCGATTAATTTTTTGTAACCTTTTTTTTTTAATTTATGAATATTAAATACTTTGCTGTTACAGTCAAAAGTTCTAGACTTTCTGTTCTCCCGAACGCAGATTGAGGTGGAAATTGAACTTTGGACAGAAGAAAAAAATTAAGTTCCCAATTCCTCGATATTCATAAAAAAATTCCTAAGTTTTACCTACTGCTTAACTCTTTCTCCTAATAAATAAGGATTTGGGATTTTACTTTTGTTCTACTTTGATGATCTAATTTTAAGCACTGTTTACTAACTTTAGGAGATCATTACAATGTAAAGTTCATTCTGGTGATGCTTGGACTGTCGTGAATGGAATAGGATTTGTTGTGTCTTTTCTGGACCCTTCATATGTTTTTATTTTATGACTACTCTGAGGAACATGGAGGACAACATTAATTTTTGCTATGGCTAATTGTGACGTTGGAGGGTGTTTGCTTATTATTTTTGACGTCACAATTATACTGACTTCACAACCAAACATAGGATCGAGCGAAGAAAGTGAGTAGATTATTGTTCCTCCGTATCTTAAAACTTTTTGTTGTTGCTGCTGTTGTTTTTGTTGTTAAATATAAGAGTTCGGTGTTGGAAATAGACAGTAATAGATACGTAAATAATTATCCAGCATTCGACAATTTAAAAAAAAAATGGAAATCTTGAAAAAAGCAATTGAATTCGCAGAGTTGATCTTCTGGTACGCATCTGCATATTTAAAAAAAATTCTCTGTATTTGCCATTATATATCCATTTAGTACATTATGTTTGAATATCAACTCATAAAAAGGGTTATTTAATATTCAACATTGTAATTTTTAAAGTTACCTTTATTTGTAAATCAAGGATTTAATTGATATTAATGCAGCATTGTTACATAGAACTTAGAATTCATCACCGTCGCAAGCCACGGGTTTTGTGTACTTTCAATTTCCACAAAATTGTGGAAATAGAATGGACACAAAACCCGTGGCTTGTGACGATGAGAATTCATTGACGTTACCAGAATTTAATGACTGAAAGAATTGAAAAATTTCACCCCAAGAATCCCTCCCCCTCCCCCAGAATAATTAAAACAAAAAAATCTTTATTGTCCTAATTCCATTATTACCATTATTACACGAATCAGTCTTAAAAAACCTTCCTATCATATTTCATGTTGGATGTATTTAGAAAAATGTTCATAACTTTTTCTTTAATTCTGACGTCATAATTACATTATCACGAGATCAAACGTCACAAACAGTATGACGTAACAATCATCACTACAACAAAACAAACAGTGTTGAGCTTAGAAGTAGAAGGTAATTTTAATCCAGAGCGTAGCTATTAGTCTTCTTGTCAATATTCTTTTTAGATGATATACATGTATTTCATTACTATCTACATCATGTAATTTCATATTTCTGATAAATATATTTGTTTCTTCTTTCTGTAGCAAGCAATCATGGATATGGATGAGATTTTAGATTTTGGGGAGGATGCTGTCACAGATGTTGTAAGTGGGCATTCAGACAAATAGTTACTAAACTGATTTAGATTTCTTCTTGTAAAATTTAGATCTAAGCATAGTTGTAGAACGTTTTTAAGTCAACTTAAATTATATATTTGATTTACATGAAAAGCTAAGTTCCAAAAATGCACATGTACGCATAAAATACTATGCTTTATCGCAGATCGAACGATCTTCATTTCTGCAAGCTTTTTATTGAAAGGGGGGAAGGTATTCAGTTTTAATTAATACAGGTTTTCAGAATATGTCTTTATTTTGTATCCATTTAATCACCCCTCTGCGTTTTAAATTTTATATCTATCTATCTATCTATCTATCTATCTATCTATCTATATATAGTTTACCCATTAAATAATTTTTTCAGGACTCAAAGCTGAAGATCTTGAAATTTGAATATAGTTGGGCTGATGCCGTTGAAGAGCATGAGAGACTAATGGAGGTAAATATACGGAGTAAAATGCATAGTAGTTTAATTGCAAAATTTTTGATAAGGGAAAAAAATTCAATGATTTTTTAATTTGAAATACGAATGTTTTCAGTATTAGGATACTTGTTACATACTTTTTAATCAAATTTATAATTAGCGTTCTACGGGGGAAAATAGAAAAGAAAATAGTTGTCCAGTTAAGTATGTTGCAAATATGGTTATTTAAACTTTGATATTTCAGGCGCAAAAGCAGAAAGAAGAAATGGAAAGAATGCTAAATAAAGAGATTACAGGAGAAGAAACTGGAAACAAAAACATTGACAAGAGCAGGTACAGATGTAATGTTGTCACTTTTTTATAGATTGATAAAAATCTGTATCTCAGCACTTATAGTTATTCTGACATATTTTCCGCTTTCTTATATGAAGTTCTAAGACTTCCTATAACGTTGTATTTCTCTTCGCAGAGAAGAAACAGTTCTCAATTTTGGAGATGAACCGGTTAGAGATTGGGTAAGTGCAGTTTGAGTTGCACCGTGAAATTAAACGCGATTTTACTTTAATTAATAAAATCCACAACACTTCATCGGTATGTACATATATCACATATTCTACACATTTTCCTATGTACATGTGTTCATCTTTACCTTCAGAGAACAAAGCTCCAGATTTTAAAATTCGACTACTCCTGGGCAGAGAGGGTAGAAGAGGAGGAGAAGAAAAGAAATGAGGTATTTCAGTCTATTCAGATTTATACAGTTGACAGGTATTTTATTGATGTCCATGTGTAATTTTGGTAGTCTCCATTATTAATCAGCATCTAGATAAAATGAACCATGTTGTATCTGTCTTACCTAATCAGAACAGGTTTTAAATGAAAACATTGAAATAAAAACAAAATTATACACTTTTAGTCTTCTATCATATTTTTTATGCATTCAATTTGTTTATAGGGAGCAAATGTTGTAGAGCAGAGTTTTAACTTGGAGAAAAACCGACTTGATCAGACTCGTAGAAGTAGAAAGCAGATAAATAACTTCAGGTAAGGGACTCAATTTTGTGTAACATTCTTTGAAGTCTATGCTGCCCAAAATCTTGTGAAAGTATGATTTTATCATAGCATCTTGTATTTTGTTGTTTTTAGATTCAAATCAATTTTGTTCCTGGTAAAATTGCAATAAATTTTCATTTATTCTAATTTAAGGAATTTCATTTTTTTTATTATATATAGACACAAAAGTAAAAATTTGAAGAGAATTTAAAAAAAAAGGATAAGCTTGTTTGATAGGTAAATTTCGCGAAAAAATGTTTTTACCTTAAATAAAACCCATACAAGCTGTTTTACAAATTTCTATAACATGCTTTTTGAGTCTCCTACGTCCTTAAATTTTCAGCTCTAGTTTTCGTTTTACAGAAGATCAGACGATTCTCTTTCTCTGATATGAAATATATCTCAAAATAATCCAAAAACCGTTTTTCCCCCATTGTTTTGTGAATCTTCAGAATTGTAATAAAAGGATCCAAAAGATAAACCTAATCCTTATAAGGTTTAATTATAACAAGCATTCTGAAAGTATTGCATTAGCAATACTAGTCCCCTACCGGCAAGTGTAATCTGGTTCCCGTTAAGAATTGAAAATGCCATAATTCCGTCAAAAATCAATGAAGCGGGGCGAAACGCAAACTTGATCTATTACTAGTCAAGGTAAAGTCACATACCAAAAATCAGCTCGATATCTGAAAGCGTTAAGAAGAAAATTGCGGAAAAACCCTAAAAATTGAAAAGGCCTTAATTCCGTCAAAATCAACGAAGCGGAACGAAACGCAAACTTGTTCTGTAACTCATCAAGATACACTCACATACCAAAAATCAGCTCAATATCTGAAAGCGTTTAGGAAAAAAGTGCGGAAAACCAAGTGGAACAGACTGACAGACAGACAGAGGGACAGACAGACAGATAGACAGACGGACAGACAAACTCAGAGGAAACCTATAGTCCCCTCCGGTTACACCAGAAGGGGACTAATAATGAAGAATAAAAATCCTAACCCTGTTTGGATGTAATACAAAGAGCTATTTTAATATTTTAGTGAAAGAAGACACGAAACAAAGAGGCTTGCAAACACTGCAGCAAAAAGAAGAAACTATCCTCGGAAAATAAAACAAGAGGTAACGTAAACGCCATATATGTAAATTTCTCAGATATTTTCTTTTTATTTCATGAATTTTGTTTTTAATCAAAGCTGGTATGGGAACAGATATTACAAAATTAAATGATAAAATGTTATCAATGAAAAAGAATATAGAAATACTGAGTACGTATACAGTGTACAATTACACTTATGTTTATAGGCTGTCAAACCAACATCAAAAGAACAAAAAAATAATGTGCAAAAATATAACAAGAAAGAACTTCCTAATGAGGGCCAACAGAATATAAAACCTGAAATTGTCACGAAGGACAAGAATTCAGAAGAACTGGAGTTAGCACATGTACAGGTTGTTACAAAGAACAAGAATTCAGAAGAGCTGGAGATAGCACATGTACAAGTTGTCACCAGAGGAGAGAATTCAGAAAAGTTGGAGATAGCACATGCACAAGTTGTCACGGAGGAAAAACATTCAGTAGAGCTGCAGTTACCACATGCTCAAATTGTCATGGAGGAAAGACATTCAGAAAAGCTTCAGCTAGCACATGCACAAGTTTTCACGAAGAAAAGACATTTAGAAGAGCTGGAGTTAGCACCTGCACCAACTGTCATTGAGGAAAAACATTCAGAAGAGCTGAAGTTATCACCTGCACAAGTTTTCATGGAGGAAAAACATTCAGAAGAGCTGGAGTTAGCACCTGCAGAAGTTGTCATGGAGGAAAAACATTCAGAAGAGCTGGAGTTAGCACCTGCAGAAGTTGTCATGGAGGAAAATCATTCAGAAGAGCTGGAGTTAGTACCTGCACAAGTTGTCACAGAGGAAAAACATTCAGAAGAGCTGGAGTTAGCACCTGCACAAGTTTTCATGGAGGAAAAACATTCAGAAGAGCTGGAGTTAGCACATGCACAAGTTGTCACAGAGGAAAGACAATCAGAAGAGCTGGAGTTAGCACATGCACAAATTGTCAGGGAGGAAAAACATTCAGAAGAGCCAAAGTTAGCACATGCACAAGTTGTCACGGAGGAAAGACATTCAAAAGAGCTGGCCTTAGCACCTGCACAAATTTTAATGGAGGAAAAACATTCAGAAGAGCTGGAGTTAGCACCTGCACAAATTTTCATGGAGGAAAGACATTCAGAAGAGCTGGAGTTAGCACAAGTTGACACAGAGGAAAAACATTCAGAAGAGCTGGAGTTAGCACCTGCAAAAGTTGTCAGGGAGGAAAAACATTCAGAAGAGAAGGAGGTAGGACATGCACAAGTTTTCATGGAGGAAAAACATTCAGAAGAGCTGAAGTTAGCACATGCACAAGTTGTCACAGAGGAAAGACAATCAGAAGAGCTGGAGATAGCACATGCACAAATTGTCAGGGAGGAAAAACATTCAGAAGAGCTGAAGTTAGCACATGCACAAGTTGTCACGGAGAAAAGACATTCAAAAGAGCTGGCGTTAGCACCTGCACAAATTTTCATGGAGGAAAGACATTCAGAAGAGCTGGAGTTAGCACATGCACAAGTTGTCACAGAGGAAAAACATTCAGAAGAGCTGGAGTTAGTACCTGCACAAGTTGTCAGGGAGGAAAAACATTCAGAAGAGCTGAAGGTAGCACATGCACAAGTTGTCACAGAGGAAAAACATTCAGAAGAGCTGGAGTTAGCAGATGCACAAGTTGTCATAAAGGAAAAACATTCAGAAGAGCTTGAGTTAACAGTAGAGCAAAGTCCCTCAGATATCACAAATTCAGGGATAGCACTGAAACAACCTACAGAGAAGAAGAGGATAGCATACTTAGAGAGTAATGAATTATTTAAACAAGATCACCCAGAAAATGAGACTCTATCCATACATGAAGCAGAGAATAATAAGGTAGCAATTAAGCAGAAAGTTATAGAAAATCAGAAGGAAACAGAACCAGAGAGTTATGAAGGAGGAAGGAAACAGGAGACTCCAGACATCAGGAAGATGACAGTTATACAAGAGGTATTAGGATTATTAAGTTACAATCCTTACATAATTATCAGCTGTAATAGGTAGAACAAAGGCAAACTTGCTCTCTTTTTCAAAATAGATACATGTAACTTTATTTATCTGATTTAAAAAGATAAATGGTTACATGTAGCAACTCTTCATTTCTTCCCCAGCTTCTGAAGGAAGACAATGCCAGTGGAGACAAAAATGATGATGATGATGACGATGGCCTGTTTGGGCCTAGAAAACTGTTCCTGTTTGGTGTTGATTATTTTAAGGTAAAAAGTTATGCTTATTAATTTTTACACCCAGTTTTATATTTTGTTTTCTTAATTGTGTGGATAAAAAGATTTAATCCATTATTTTCTAAACTTTATACATTTGATTTGTTTTAGGGTGACGAAAAATTTGTTTGGTAAGAAGAAACAAGAGCTTGAGGAAGAGAAAGAAAAATTGTTTAAAGAGAAAATAAGAAAAAATGTGTCTGATGAAATGAAATAAATATTAATTATTTATTGAATCAAGTCTTGATGATTTATGGAATCAAAATAAATTATTTACATTGTAATACAGTATTAAAAATTATTTGTTTAAAAGAAAACTTTGTTTATTCATAAAGATCTAATGAAACAGGATGGTAATTGGATAATGAATAAATGTAGAAAAATACAATTATTCAGAGAGAATTCAATTTACTGACGAAATTTTTTTCGATCTAAAGCCAAAGTGAAGCCAAATATCCTCTGTTCATAGTCTCCAAGTATCAGCCAGATTTTGTGAACTCCATTGTAAACGATTTTTTTGTGTATTCTTAAGGGCAGACGTTCCTCAAATTCTTCGTATAAATATAAAAAAATATTAATAATCATCATCATATTGTGATTTCTAAACTGTCTAATTTTTAAAATGTCTTGAAAAAAGGAATACCTTCAACATTATATTAATTGTCAATTCAAGTGATTTCTAATTAACACCATCCTCTCATATTTTGCACAGATGTCTGGTTAGGTACCTCAATTTTTTGTGGGTAAACTCGTTAAAAAAAGTAAATAAATACTTGAGTACAGATCCTTGAGGCAAATTATATATGAACGTGTCGTCTGACCTAACACTTCATTCACAGGCAAATTGTTGTCCCTGTGTTCTTTTCATACATGTATTTTGAGTTTTTCTACATATAATCGTTATTAAATATTTATTGAAACAACAAATATTTGATTTTGGGATCTCATAATTTAGGATTTGTAACTCGCTTGATCATTTCATTTTAAAATCATTCAGAGATAGGAGTAATTCATAAAACTGATGAAATCTGGCTAAATCGAAACCTGTTTGAATGTAATTTTTTCATTCCTTTACTATATTGTGGTTCACTACTAGTATATGAAAAATTTATTTCAAATGTCAGGTTTATATATGTAAGGAGACTTGGATATCGCCAACGATTTGAAGAATATTCAGGATTTCCACTAAAAAAAGTGAAAAGGGGGCGGGGGGGGGGACACTTTATGAGGCCATTCCAAGTTTTTTCCTGTTTAGCGTCCACCTATCTTTCCAACCTACCTATTTACAAAATAAAAAAACAAAAAAACAAAAACAAAAACAAAACACAGAAGCCAAAAAAAAAAAAATAAATAAATAAATAAATAAAACACGGACTTTACAGTCATAAAAATGACGTCATTCAAAGAATTTTATTTCCTTAATCTATTTTTCTTGAAGATCTATTCTTAAGCAAAATCAAGGCATCAAATGCTTAGAATAAATCTAATACGACATATTGTACACCAAAAAAAATGACAGAAAGCAAAGATTTCGACCTAGAGAATCAATTTCAGAACTCCTGATTTTGTTTGTTTGTTTTTTTTTTCTGATCAGGTGTGTCAAAAACCAAGGTGGACGCTAAACATGGGGAAAAAAATGGAATGGCCTCATAGCACACACACACACACACACATTATTACAAAACAAAATGCATTACTTTGTGACTCTTTATTTAGAGATTACAAATATTTTTGATAAAATTCTAAAAATCGTCAAATTGGGTTGGGTACAGTATGCATATATCACAAATCTGTCACCGAGTACCTCTTATGTTCCATACTCGTGTATAACACAAGGTATGGAGAATTCACATACTAAAGTTACACTCTTTGTAACGGATATCTTAAATAAAAATAGAACATTATTCTTTTACATATAATGTTTTGACTTCGCCATAACTCTTTGAAATGTTTGTAGGATTCTGAAATGGAATTTGTTGACAGAGGAGGTAGAAGAGTTATAGTGAAGATATTCTGAATTCAATCAAACCAAGGCTGAATAATTAATATCAAAGAATAATAAAAAAATATTTATAGTCTTTAATATAATTGAGTACAATGTAGTTCATGTTGCTCATATACAGATTCACCTTATGAAACAGAATATGATGCACGGTTTCATGTACGGTACATGACCTCATTACTGGTTCCCTCGGACATATCTAAGCTGATTGAAGCCATCGCTGATTTTGATGAAGACATGACCAGTGTCTTTTCATTACTACAGTTTCTCAGAGAAGTCACTGCTGCCATTTTGTTGTACTGGTTTGGTGTCAGTGAGGACTATGTCAGGTTCATATTTCTTTTGAGTCCTACTTTTCTTACAACAGTTTAGTGGACTTTTTGTAAATGTTGGGGATATTGGAAAATATGCACAACATTTCAATCGTTTCAATAACTTTGTAACTAGAGGCATGTTATATTGAACTGGTTTTCTTCTCTCCAGACTTAAGTCTAAAGTCTCCCGCCATTTTATTAGCCCACGTTCTTCTTTCGACCCTGAAACAATTTTGCAAAATGTAATACTAGTATTCAAACAGCTAATGTTTTTTTTCAAAGCAACCTTTTAATTTTTTATACGGAATACAGAAGGATTGTAAGCTGACCTGGTACAGTATTGTCCAGAATAAAGCCGATGACTCCACCAACAAACATGGCGGTAGTAAGCAAGACCTTCAGAACCTGGTCAAGATCGTCACTTCCTGGAAGAAGAAAAATAATTCCGATACCAAAATAAAACAAACAAACAAAAAAAACACAAACAAACAAAAAACCAAAACAAAACAATAATATGACGGTCAAGCATGAACTTAAAATTATAATTCTGATCATCTATCTTCAAAAAAGAAAAATCCGTCTTATCTAAATACAGAACATTGTCTTAAAAAATTGCTGATTTTGAAATTAAAAAAAAAAAAATTACCAATGATTAACATTATACGCCTATCCACTTTTCGTGTAAACACTTAGAGCAATAGCATTTGAACTAGTACTGCTGCTTCACGTTAAATACAACAAAGGAATGCCTAGAATGTTTCTCCCAGAAAGACTGATATTCTAACAAACAAACATAAGGTTGACTTGATCTATTAGCTTGTTTCTTATGTAATAAAAAGATCTTTCTTTTGCTTGAAATCTGATAATTTAAACAATAAAATGCTTTCTTTGGTTGTTAGTATGGGAATTAATGTTGTAGCGGTTGCAGATTTTTTTTCTGCAATAGTTGCAACGTTAATTCCAATACTAACTACCAAAGAAAGAAATTTTATTGTTTATATTTATATCTGTACAAATAATCATCTAAAGTAGTATTAAGTAGATTAAATATTGTATTATTGATATGTACGTCATTGTACGTTTCATTGATGGAAGAGCCACCGCACCGAAATCTATATAAGTGGTGTTTACTAACTGATAAACAACAATGGTTTTCTTAAGAAATAAAGGAGAAAATGTTTCAGTGGATGTAAATACTTTGTAGTTATGCTATATAGTTGACGATATTTTTGTAGTTATTTAAGATATTTTTGTAGTAATATTTCAAAGGAAGATGCCTTAATTTCCAAATATTTACATTTTCAATTGCTTTGTCTGAGATAAAAATACAAATAAAAGAAACAGTTAGATTTATATCTTTATAAAGCCATTTGCGCACCACATGACAGAACTGCAATTTCGATGTGTGTGGCTTAGTTTAGCACTGAGTTGAGCTTGCAGACTTAGATTTCTAATTTTTGAAACAAAAATAACGTAAATATATTATTTTTTATCGAATGAAGGATCAAATAGAAATGTAAATATAAGGAATAATTATCTGGGTTTTTTTTGTCTTCTGATGATGTTCAAACAGTTTGCTTACGTCATAATTCTATGCATAAACGCCTTTGCCTTTATGGAAATTATCACATGATAAACTGATTGATTACATCATAAAACAAAATAAAAATAAAATAAAATAGGTTATTTCTGAAATACAGCATGTGAACGTTCAAACTTTAGCAGGACTTTTTATAGTGATTGATGAGGTAAATTTCAATGCATTTTTTATGCTCCTCTTACCAGTATTAATAGAATTTGGGTTTTGAAGTAACCACTGCGGGATCATCAGACCCAGTATCATCGACAAAGCTAGAATTGTCAGATTTCTGGTAGATGACATGTCCATAAACTGAAGCACGGAAATCCCAACTGCTCCCACCATCCCAAACACTACCGTCAGAGTCCCACCTATAATGGGATCTGGGATCAATGTCAGTACCGCACCAAATTTACCGATAATGCCACTCAGGAGAAGGATAATCCCAGCCACTTGAAAAACACGCCTACTGGCAACCTGCGATATCAAAGTATTGCATGTAAACTTTTTTTTACAATACTTGTACCTACAATATATTTATGATTGCATTTCAGCGCTAGACAATATCAAACTTTAAGAAAAAGAGCTTCTGAAATAGATATCGGAATATATGTATTGTATATGTCATCATACCGGTACCCTGTGTGTAAATGTGAAGAGAAATAATATATTTGTCAGAAATAATTTATTACTGCAACAATTATTCAGGTGCCGGCATCATATCACAACAATTCAGTAAGACAAGAACAATATAGACAAGAAACTGTTAGACATAGCTAGAATTCCGTTGTAGATATATTTTACATTCAGTTGATTTTTTTAATTACTTTGATTTTCTGGGAACAATATGGTATTTCGTTTAAACAGGTATTCTCCACCAATTCTTGTGGATTAATAAATGCACTACGCATTTATATTCTTTTTTCATATGATTTTGAGACCATTTTGCCAAAAGCAGTTTACATTTCTAGTGCATACCTTTGTTATTCCAATGGCTCCAATATTTCCACTGTATGAAGTGGTGGGATGCCCTGCTCCAACCATACCGGAAATGATGCTAGCAAAGCCTTCAGTGGCTATTCCACGGTTTACTGCATGAGGTGGTGGTGCCTCGGCATTTGACAGCCGAGCGGCAGCAAAATAATCTCCCACGGACTCGATAACAGATGATATAGTGGCGGCAAGCATTCCTGCGAATCCTGCCACCGAAGCCGTGGGTATGCCAAACTGAACTAGTGAAACAAAATAATCAAAGCTTTGGAAATTTAGAAATTTGAGCAGATTAATGTGGAAATCGATCGAGTTGCTGTTGAGGGGAATAACCCATTCCATCCTCTCAGATCATATAAAATATATTGCAGAATTAATTATAAATATATACAATTTAAAAGGTACAAATGTAATCAACATGTGCAAATATTATTTGCTCAAATTAATAACAAATTTCTTAGATACTTACATGGATATGGGAAATAGAACCACGGCATGGTATTGAGTACGTCTAGCCTGGCGTCTGTACGCGCGAGATTGGTGCTGGATTTGTTTTGGATGACAATTTTTGGAGGAAGGACGTCCGTGACTGTAAGAATATAACTAAGCAGCCAACAGATGGCAACACTGAGAATCACCTACAAGGATAGCGGAGATAAAGGCTAAAAAATCATTACCAGATCAAGCACACTGCTATAAAAAGTACATGTATTGGTGACATAGCCCAGGTTAAAGGAATGTTTAAAAAGTTTTAAACTCATGCAATGGACTATAATATTTATAATCCAGGAAAAAAAAAAAAACCACTCACTGGCATAAGCTGGAAGATTGGGTATCTTGTAATGTGACATTTTTTGGCTTTTGAAAAACTTGGTAAAGGAATTTTGAGGCGGCCCAGGTATAAACTGAATACTGCAATCAGCACCAACGTTCTGATAAGAAAATTAAACAAGCTGCTTCAATTGAAAATGACTAACAAAGATTAATAATTCTTATATTTGCTATAGGGGTCAACCTCAACGCAAAATTGCACAATATATTATAATTATGTTATTATATATTTCAATGACACGTAATGTTATAGGAAGTAACCAGATTTTATCTGAACTTTGACCTTGATTACCCTTGACCTAGCATTCAATTTTGCAGAATATTATTCTATCATGTATAGACTGATGCTATACTTGAGTATTCAAACATTTAGATATACATGTACACTTACAGCATGGCTATTCCCCAGTGGTACTTGTTGATATCGGCTGCTACACCTGTTAGAGAAAGGCCTATCAAAGAAATAGTAGGAGCTATGGTGAGGGGGCCAATGAACTTAAGGAAAAACCCCATCAGGCCGGTACATCCCAAGACAAGCTGAATAACAGAGGCCAACATCAAATTGCCTTGAATCTGTCAATCAAAATTTTGTCTGAAGTAACACAGATATCTCATTGAGAAGGTGTATATCTGACTGAAGAGAAAAGAGATCTTACTGAGAAAAAAAAACCATTTGATATCTAAGTGAGGAGAGTTGATATCTGAATGAATAGTAAAAGTTCTTATTTAAATCACCTGATATCTGAGTGAGAAGAGTAGATATCTGATTAAAAACGTTCTCAATAACATCAGCAGATATCTGAGGGGCGTAGATATCTAATTGTATAGGGCAGATGTTTCAATGCAGACTTAGATATCTGATTGTTTAGGGCAGAGGTTTCAATGCAGACTTAGATATCTGATTGTATAGGGCAGAGGTTTCAATGCAGACTTAGATATCTGATTGTATAGGGCAGAGGTTTCAATGCAGACTTAGATATCTTGAAAAGAGTTCTGTCTCTGAAACGTCTGGATAAAAGATATCTTAATTGAGAAACTGCATGATTTTTGTGGGCAAGTAACCATAAAAAAGAAAATTCCTTTCTGAAGTTGCAGTAAGTTACAAACTGGCATACCCTGGATATACTGCTGAGTAATCAATAATAATTTCTTCCAGTAATAAAAATGTTACCTCGCGCATTCTTTTCTGCCAAATCTCGTCTCTGTCGATGATTGTGGAATTGTAATTCAATTCTGAAATACACGTATATGAAGTGTAGTGGTCCTTAAAAAGTTCATATACTATTTATCTGTAAACTACACAACTTCTTCAAAGGTTTGGTAATTATTACGTTTTTGTATGTTTTTTGTGAAAACTGGGATATATCTTTCCTAAATCTTTAGGACTTTTTCTAATTTAGATATTTCTTTTTTAAAATTCATCATCATACTTAGAGAGAAGGGGTTTAAAAATATTATTGTCTGTGAATTCATCAGCAAATGTAACTGACATTACAAAACTGTTGAGGGTATGAGAAAAGCCCAAAAGTTTATGGTTGATTTCGGTAACTTACCGTCAACATTTAGCTCTTGCTCTGTGCACTTCCATTTGTCTAGCGCCATCATAGCTATAATTGGGGCGATAAAATTGTGGGATCCACCCTGTATGATCCCTAGTCTGAAAAACGAAGAATTACATTATCGCTGTAAGCAACATATATTGTTCACTGTCATCATACACACTACCAAACTTCAAACACGAAGTTTTTGCTCATCAAATAAAAAAAACACAAACAAAAAAAATAACAAAACAAAACAAAAAAAACAACAACCAAAATTAAAACACACACACACACAACAAATAAAAACAAAAACCTGTTCTGTCAAATAAACAAACAAAAACAAAACCAAATATTCCAAAAAAAGAAAACAAACAAAAAAGGAAGAGGATAACATTAGCCATTGCATTTTCCTGTCCAAAAAAGTTACAAGTCATATCACTGAACTTTTGCTAAATGGCCTACTTTGTATTGCTCTCTTTATGCTGTCTTGGCGTTGTGTTATATTTGTGTGCAAGTTTTACGTGAATGACTGCTTTTCAAGGAGCACAGATACGCTTTTTTAAATTTATGTGCATTCCTTGTGTTAAAGGTGCATTGCTATTTTTTAACGGTTTTAAATTCAGTTTAACGAACAATTCTTAAAATTCAATGATAACAGCATTCTTTATAAAATTTCATCAAACATCTGTGTTGGGCACGAGCTCTTTTGCTGTAAATAATAATGTATACGTTTTACCGGGTGTGTTCGATTTACGTACTATGCACACATAAAACTGAACACGAACTATCTGGTGTGTTTTGCTTTTTTACACATTTCTGTTATGATTTTCTAGGTTACAGCTGAATATCTTTTATTACATTTTCAACAGAGGAAATAAAACCATCCTGACAGAAACTATATCTGCCAAGTTTCCAAATACATTTATGTTGTTCAAATCCATATTTACAATGTAATCACTGTCACTGTAGTTCAGTCGGTAGAACTCTTGCTGCGTAATCGAAAAGTCATGGGTTCAAACCCCGGCCGCTACTGACCTAAGTTAATGTTCCTTCACCAAGCGCTCGGCACTCTGACGTGAAGTGATCGGAAGGTCTAGTATCGCTTAATGCCGTAATTAATTTAGTCCACTTCAGGGCAAATCTTTTCAATTTCACGCAAACTATCTTTGCAGTGATGTAAACCAATCGTTACTATATATATCAAACAGCATTAATTTTGATAAGAGACAGATTCACATGTAAGTGGAATTTGGTGCTATAGTTTTGAGTTCAACCAAGGGCAAAGTATTTTATTGATACAGATTCAAAAGTAGTAGATAGTGATTTGTGACACGTTCAGCAGATTTAAATATGACCCCTTATCACGTATTGAAGTTGGAAATGTCGGATCTAATCATATATACATGTATCTGATAATATGAAAAAAAAAGGCAACGCTATATATGGAGAGTTCCCGGATCATTTGACACTGGTTTACTTTTCTCATGTCGGGATGGACTTCGTTTGGGGATGAGAAACGTTTTAATGACGCCAGGTGCCTTCTGGGTTAGTCAAGCTAGCTACATGTACATGAAAATGGAAATAAAAGATTTAAAGCGTCTCCCTTTATACGGTATGTTTTTGGTCATGGCTAAGAGAAGGGCAAGCCACACAAGAAGAAGTAGATGTACCTGACACCGAACGTTGTTTGTAGAAGGGTCGCCACGCCACACATAAACATGGAAATACACAGGAGCTGGGCGCGAGCGTCAGAGTTTGTGCTGGCACAAAGTTGTATGGTTAAAATGAAGGGAATAGACAGTGTGCTTCCTAAAGCCAGAATAGCTTGCTACAAATAAAAAGAGGAACATTATGTCAGAATAATATACATTATCATAAAAAAGAAAACTTTGATGAGACTGTTACTCGAGGTCTACTGGTGTGCACATGCATATAATAAGGAAATATCTTAGTATAGTCTCTTTGTGTAAAAAAGTCTAATCAGACCAAAACTATAGGATGAGTAGCGTTTTAAAAGAATTTAAAGTATTTTCTATTCTTAGTAACCATGGCATTTCCGTTTGTCGAAATCAAAAACCTATGAAAAGAATTAGTACCTTGGTATAGTTTACGTGTGTACCAAGTCTTATTGAAATTTGACCAAAACTGTAGGAGGAGTAGCGTTTTGAAAATTGTTTATAGATAGACAGACAGATAAAAACCAAATCTTCTCAACTTGAAATGCTGATTTTCATGGAAGAAACTACAAATGCACATATCAAATATTATAAACCTCCCTTGATCATAATGATTTGAATAACATGGAATTTTTTCACTTAATTCAATTAATAAGCTTTCAATTTCTGGTGTAAAAGATTTTAAGAGGTATAACTTAATAAACTTTCCAAAGCAAAGTAAAAATTCAGTACATGTATTTTTGAACAAAACACTGGATACAACATGGAATTTTTTCACTTAATTCAATTAATAAGCTTTCAATTTCTGGTGTAAAAGATTTTAAGAGGTATAACTTAATAAACTTTCCAAAGCAAAGTAAAAATTCAGTACATGTATTTTTGAACAAAACACTGGATACAAAACTTTACACGCTCAATTTTTTTTGTGTGTGTATTGGAAATATTTTTAATCCTACGAATTTCGCATCCTACTTTCAAAAAATAGCCATAGGGACCCATTGCTCTGGCCTAACAAAAGCAGGTTTTTATAATATTGCATCGGTATCCGTGGAGAAGCTCGGACTGCTTGTTTAAATTTGAAGTCGGGCTGGAAAATCTCGTAGTGTTGAGCACAGCCTATTTTTGTTGCTGAGTTTCCTTAACAGAACTTTGAATGTTAATCTTATTTGTTCCTTTTACATTATAATGTACCCTTGTGAATTCATACTATAATTATTAAACATTTTGACCTCATTTCTTAAGTGTATTGATCATTGGTTATCACGCAGGCACATAAACAACTTCTCAACAAAGTAATGGAATTGACAACCATTTTGGGGTGTGGGGTGGGTGTGAAGCTTTAGCCATGAAAAATACATAGTGTAATTTTTCTTATTTACATTTTGAATCGCAGTGTTTCACAAACATTCTTGTGTTTTTGCGTTATAATGGTTCACAAAGCTTTCAAAAACATGGTATTGTAGCTGTAGATGATTTAAATGTCAGCAGGGTCTACAAAAGGTTTCAAATCTTTTTGCCTTACGAAATATACTTTTTTGAACTGAAAGATGAAATCTGATATGTATCACAATAAATCTCGACTATTTGGGGTGCTGGCACTTTGTAAATTTTCAGTCTTGTGATTGTTTGTTTGTTTGTTTTCCTGCAATCATTTGTTATTTACTAAGGGAAAATAGGAACACCTGTACGAAATTTTATTAGACAAAAGGTACATCTCACCTAAATATATACGTTATGACAAGGCAGTTGTCTGCCTCTTTCAATCAAAACCTCAAATTACCCCCAGGCATTGTTAATGACGCTTGATACAAATTTAAAGGTATACATGTACATGTATGTTCTTTTCTTGCAAGCTTCACTTTTAATTAATGCCTAGTCAATCCAATCTTTCAGTTTTTATAGTTTTCTTTTCTAAATGTTAATTGACAAATTGAACTGTTGAACTTTCCCCGACTTTTACTACATATTTTCATTTCTTACATTCTATACCATTTGAAAATTAAAAAAAAAAGCAGCATAAAGAGATCCTACGGAAAAAGGTAAATCATCTTTCACCAAACGAAAAAATTCACAGTAAGTTTTTTTCCTTCATATTTACCTGCAATGCAAATACGAAAGTGAGAAGGGGAGGGGGAGTGTCCTCCACACTATAAACGATCCGCTCCTCTCGATCCCCATTACTCCTCGTTACTCGTCTGTCTCCCTGTCCTTCCTCTTCCTCCATTTTCCCCCTGTTATATGTACAAAGTGGAGATTTAAGCATTTCCTCACTCATATCAAACACTTTGAAATGCAAATTAGCATGTACAGCAAATATTTGACGCTCTTGATAAAAATGACCAAGTACACGACGTTAAGACAATATACGTGTGGTCACTGTTACCGTCCTGGGGGAGATTGCTCACCTTACCGGCTGCCCTCTTTTGTGTTAAATTGTTTGATAAAGTTATCTCATCAAAAGAAATTCTTTGAGGCATACAATGTATTGTAAAACAGAGCTAAAATAAACACGAACACGAACTGGAATGAATTCAGAATGGGGGATCATATGTAGAGATGGAACCTCTTTTTTTTCTCTTACAACAATTTGAATTGTGAAAATTTGTAAGACGAACTAAACATAAATTTTCCGAGTTTTATGATTTTTTTAAACTACTAGTATTAAGGTATTCGTGTAAATTCATTAATTCACTAATCGTCAATTATAGTATATATAATTTCGAAACATGGTACTTCATACACCAAATAATAGTATAATGGGTGGTGAAGAGTTAGAGAATTTTATTTCTTCGTCATTTTTTTTAAATCAAGTAGACCGTATTAAGTTTTTCTTCCTCATGTATTTAAGTATTGAGGAAGGACAACACTCTAAGTACATCGATTTGTAATTTTTCCACTTGATTGTTAATACCAGCTGTATGGGGATAATACTGTACTGTTCTAGACTCCCGCGGTCGAAGTTGGTATTTTTTAAGGGACAAGATAGCACTGTTATAAACAGTCAGTAAAAACAACAACAGATTTATATATAGAAGTCATAAGTTCAACACTGTTCGTTAAGAGACTTGACTTCCTTCGTTTGTAGAAAAATAATTTCATGTTTGTTGACAGACATAGTTTTTTTTTCAAGCCCTATACTGTCTTCAATCAGTTTTCCCCCAATGTTTTGTGTTTAAAAAATTGTTCTTTTGTCTGTCTGGAATAAAACGGTTGCAGTTTGAAACATATATACGTATACTGTAAAATTATTAAAATTCGTGGGACCATTTTTCGTGGATTGCTTAAATTTTGCAGGTTTGAGGGGACGTAATTTCGTTATTCTCTTATACCTAAAAAAGGAAATATGACTTTGTAACCATAGTTAATTAATTCGGGGAGGATGTTAATTCGTAGATGAGAGGTATCCACGAAAATTGAGTCACTTTGAAATCAAATGACTCCACAGTATATACATGTATATCTTCACATTTTCTTCTAATACATTCAGTAAGTAAGAAGTAAGACACATAGTATCGATTTTGAAAAGGGGCAGCCAGAAAAAAAATGACAACTTACAATAACATGTATGTACCTGAAGAAAACTTTGACAAGCAAAATATATATACATGTAAACAGAATATACCATTTTATGCATGGGACATGAAAAATCAAATTACCTTTGCAACTGTGTTGAAATGAATCCGCGTGTTTGTTTTGTTCGAGATCCCATTCAAAGCCGTAAAAAATATGGGTCCTAAATCAATTACTGTGATGGACGAACATAAAATTCAGTCAAAGATTACGTAAAAGTTTGGCATGAAATTGAGTTAGCCTTGTGTGTGGAAGGTGGAGAATTCGATTCCTGGCCGGGTCAAATGACGTTCATCATTCATGGATTTTTCGGACGACTCCTTCAAACTCCAATCTCACTACAAGACTCATCAAACGCTAAACTTTCATGTTTTGAAAAGTCAAATTCAAGGGCCTTTCTTGGGAGTCCTTAAAGAGGGGGCCCCGTATACCTATCATTTTATAGGCAAAGGGGCCTGGACACAGTTGCATTGTCGTTTTTGTTTACAATTTTAAATTTCTGTTTTTATTAATAAAACTTACCTCAGTTTCATAAATTGAACTTACATGAAAATTCTTAAAACCATTCTTCAAAACATTACGTCAGACACCCGTGTTTGTAAACACAGGAACGAGGTATGTTATTGTTAATGTTTACGTTTTACCGGGTGTGTTCAATTTGTTTACTCTTCCCACATCACTGAGCACAGATTGACAATACTAATGAATTTGTTTTCCTTTCTTATCTTTCTAATTTGAATTTCCTATTTTTCCTTAATACGCAACAAATTTTCCACTTTTCTTATATTAAGGATAAAATTTACTTCATAAAAGTGCAAAGATGTATTTCAATAAAACGCGTCCCGAAATTCGTAGTTTTAATAATTTCCAGATAAAAAAAATTTCTATAAAACAAGCTTTTATGATATTTTTGTGTGAAATACTCCAGCAACATATAGGTCATTATTATACTGAAAATTTTTGAAGATATTAACTATCAAATCTGTGTCCAGGCCCCTTTATCCATAGAATAGATTTATCGGTATACTGAATATTTCATCTTTAGTTTTTTCAATATGAGTGAAAATCTTCATACTGCTACGCGTCAAATCTTTATAAGAAAATTTGAAAGGAAGGGGATTTTCGTTTCCCCCACTTTTCTTTCAATAAAACTTTTAAAAACGACAACAATAATTTTGAGATAAAAATATACATATTCGGTGCATACATATATTGGTGAATAAAAACATGAGATTTACAGTTTACTTTAGCTGGACACTCTCTCAGTGTTCCAATAGTTTTGCGCGTCAGTGGGGGAAAATTGCTCTTCTTCCCGTTGTTTTCTGATTTTTATTAAAATTCTGTCATCATTGATTTTTATTCATATTCTGTCATCATTCAAACAAGTTGTGTTTTTAAAGAATTGCTGTCTGCACATACCATGCAAATTTTTATTAAAAAATCCCATGAACAGTAATATGCTTTTTATATAATTTAAAAGAAAGTTAAATATTTTAATAAAATAGACCTACCTTATCAGAAGAGTCCCTCGGCAATCCTTCTCTTAAAAATTGTCTTAATTGTCATCGATGTACGTATAATACTTTTCGATTTATGGGTGTTGACTGCGCAGTATTCTGTCGTAAACTAATCGAACGACACGAATAAGTTTGAGTTGTGAGTTTTAAATTACCGGATACCACAACAGTGAATATGCTAATATTAATCAGTCTTTAGAGATCTACTACTTTGCACACGTTTCAAATAAAAATTGAGGAAAGAACCCGGAAGCTTAATACTAATGAAATAGAAAAACAGGTTGTAAATTTTTATCTTACTTTAATATACGGTAAAATTACATAAAACATAAACATCTTCCGTCCAGCATATTTTCTGATTTAAAAAAAATTGATACCGGTATTTGTCATTTACATATCGCATGTTCTATTTGAACTCTATACAAAGAGTTAATGAATAAATTTTATCAAGGAGGTTGGATCCTGCTAACAAAAGTTTTCAGAATTTCTGCAAGTATATTTTTAGTATCAACACACCGAAGATAAGAGTAAATATGCTTATTTTGGTGCTATGGCGCATTTAATATAAACGTTTAACGTTTGTTTAAGTACTATAAATACTTCGAAATAGAAAAAAGTGATAATGTTCTTCTAAAAAAAACTTCTTCCACAAAACATAGTTCCTAACTTAATGCTTTTTGTATGAAATTTAATCGTGGGTTTTTAATTGGATATGGTTGAATCCAAATTTTTATAAGAACTAAAATATGATGCAGAGTTTTAGAAGTAGAGCTCCAGAAAAATCATCTGAAAGGCTCAGGATCGAACCTCACTACCTGGGGGTATATAAGAAGAATATTCAGTGACCATAGTCTATTTTTATGTTCCTTTGTTACTGTTTCCCGTAGTGACCAGACCAAGGCGGCTGAGCTAGAGTTTTTGATGAAGTCAGACAAAAACTAGAGGTACTGTGAGCACTGAGCTCACAAAATGATACCCCTCCCCCTCTCCCATATGAGTATAATGGCAAAGACGATTTTTTGGCAGGGAAAGTCCAAATAACTGTCCAATCAGAACATAAAATAGGGGATGCACAATGGCACTCTGTAATAAAGATTCTGTGAACGTCTCATTTAATTTTATTTAGTTGAATAGGAGGCGTTGCGGATAAGAGATGGGTACACCCAATATCATAATAGAATGGCCAGTGTCCGTGCTTTGCTATGGAAAACCCCAAATATTTGTCTGATTAGAACATAAAATAGAAGTTGCATAATGGGACTACGTAAAAAAGAATATGTGAAAGTCTCGCTAAATTTCATTTAGTGGTATAGAAGGAGTTGCAGATAAGAGATGGGTACACCCAAATGTTATATAAAGAATGATTGTGACCATGTTTTGCTATGGTAAACCCTAAATAACTGTCTGATTAAAGCGTAAAATAGGAAATGGTCACAATGGGACTATACTATTCTGTGAGAGGCTCATAAAATTCAGTGGTATAGGAGGAGTTGCGGATAAGAGATGGGTACTCCCAAGTGTTACGAACGTACGGACGGCTAGACGTACAGACGGAAGGACAGATGGACGGAAAGACAAAACCCCCATCACAATATAACCCCTCCCCCACTTTTCAAGCGGGGGTATAACAACATCAGCATTGAAAATGAAAAATCTTATCTACTTTTATTCTAATAAAGACGATCATTAGGCTTGAGGGGGTTATAAGAGTCAAGGCACAGGCCATTAGATCGCTTTAAAAAAAAAAAATTAGGTGTAAAAAAATTCTTTTTTATACACCCCAATTTTTTCAAGTCGGATTTAAGCGATCGAAAGGCCTGTGAGTCAAGGAAAAAACTAAACTTAGGTATCAAATACATGTACATCTGACTATCTGAAGTTAAACATCCAAAAAATATGGACGATATGCCTTTCATAAGGGAAGGGTAAAACAAAAGGAATGCCACAGTCCAGTTGTAATTTTTGCTATTACAATTTTTGGGTGCCTACCTCACCTATTTTTGGGTGTCTATCATTACCGCTACATTTTCAAATTTGTCATTACCGCTACTTACTCATTACCGCTACAAAAAAGGTTACATTACCGCTACATTTTAAAGTATACATTTCCTCTACATTGCCTCTTCCGATGCATGTACAGATTGATTTAAAGTACAACATATACATACACATCCATAAGACATGTTTCCCCTGCTCACCACGGGGAGGTGAAAGTAAGACTTTGAGCAAAACGTTCTTGGTTTTTGTTTTCAATTCTTATTTAAAATTATTTTATTTGATATAAAATTATTTTATTTAATATAACATTTTAGAAAGTGTTAAAACGGAGCATTGTTCATGGATAAAACACACAGCCTTTAAATAATTGATATAGCTTTGAAGGCCATCTGACGTACTGTTGTCTGGAAATCTCTAATATGAAATAGAACTTATATTCCGTGCCATTGCTAGCTGATTCGATATGTAGCGATAATGAGATGTAATCGGCAATAGTCTTTTTGATAAAATGTAGCGGTAATGATCACCCAAAATTTCGAAGAAAAGTAGCGGTAATGAGTTGAAATTTTTCGCAATGTAGCGGTAATGTTGACCTCCCCTATTTTTGCTATCTTTATGATTAATACAGTACATTTTGCTTATTTTAAAATACCAACGCATGTTTAAAGTAACATAAATGCTAAGATTAATAGAAATCCAATTATTTACAAACAAGCATCGGGTACAGAAAATAATTTTTATGAATGACCCAAGGCCTTTCATTTTCTATTTTCATATTGGTACCGTAGGGAGTCTATCTGAACCAAAAAACTCCTAAAATCCTGAGAAATTAAACCCCATGTTTTGTAAGTCCATGAGTACAACAAGATTTCTCCAAAGAATTCACTTACTTTATTTGTATTGTGGATAACTATCATATGAGGCGCCGTTTTGGTATTTATTGCTATTAAGTGATATCACCTATTCATTAATCAAACAAGTGATATCACTTGTTCAAATTGAATAGGTGATATCACATATTCGAATGATTGATATCACCTTTTCAAATGGATGATACACCTACTCGAAATAAACAGGTAATATGACCTAATATTCGAATAGGTGATATCAACCATCAGAAATGGACAAGTGATATCACCAGTTTGAATAGTGATATCTCATATTCGAATGGGTGATATCAGTTATTCGTTTTGAATTAGTAATATGACCTTTTCAAATGAGTGATATTACCTTTTTGCATTTCTTACAACATCAAATAATGAATGATCCCTCCTTTAAGACAATCTTGCTTAAAACAAAGCAAAGGAGGACATTTTAAAAGGTTAGCTATCCAAGAAGTTATTACTTTTTCTATTACATGTATTTACATAAATATACACACGTATCAAATTGAGCATAAAGTGTTCAGGTAAGCATGTGGCAAATGGGCTCTTAATGTAAGTACTAGTATATCATAAAATTAGTTACAGTCTGAAATTAACGAATTCAACGAGGCATAAATCTAAAATCCGAAATCTTTTGCAAATCTACCGGAAACCACCATTCATATTCCAAAAGTTAATTTTGCTGTCGCTAAAAGAATTCTAGGAACTAGGTTTTTGAAGAAAAAACGTAGTTTTTCACCCCCAAATTGCTCTCT